TATACTTATAGCTAAATAATTATGTGCTTTGCAATGAATAGAAAAATATACCAAGGTGTATTTTAATTTGATATAGGTTTAGTAAGACATTGTTATTTATTATCAGCATTATCTTATATTATGGATATCACGGTCATTATAAAATAAATTATAACGGATAAAACATAATTAGATATGTACCATTCACGTCATCGTTTTGCATGAATATTTCATAGTTTTTATTTCTATTGCAACGCACGGACATATTTACTAGTAAACATAATATATGCAGGTGACACCTAATTTGGCTCCGTGCATGCTGTGGTATCAGTGCTGTTGTGAAAACCAAACAGCTAAGGAAAAAACAAAGGCTCCGTCCGGCTAGCTGGAAAAATGACTGATGCTGATGCTGATTTGTTGTGAGAGAAAAATACTGTTATTTCGCTGAAACGATAGGGCTGATAAGTTCTAAGTGAACAGGGTCAAAACCTGCTTGCCCAAAGTGGTGGCGGTTGGGCAGGGGCAGGGCCAGCGCCAACGAATTGCGTTCGGTCGATCGATTGTCGCAGTGGAAACGTAGTCGTCTCTCGCTTTTGCGTGATGAATGAACAGTAGAAGCACTAGATGAGCGAAGCGATAAGGAACCGAGAAAGCGAGTTAAATTGGTAACATTCCCATCAGGCGCGTCAGATCTCAGACGATGACGTAAGAAGTCCTGGTAGTGGCTCCGTGGTCCGTGTCTGTTTCTAAACATGTACGGGCCCCAGTCGTCGCGCGGCCGTGGTCGTCCGCGTCCGTGGACGACGTGCTCGATTTGATAGATACGCGGCCGGTGCTGGACGGCTAGCTGGTGCTGCCCTGCCTACTACTCCGAACGTCGTCGGATCGTAGCTGTTTCTGCGTTGCTGCCAGCTCCGATCCGATCATGCATGCATCTCGCCGACCTCGATCGGTGGCAGGCAGGGAGCCCAAGTGCACAGCCGGCCGTCTCTGCTCCTGCCTGCCGCTGCAGAAGTGACAAAATCGAGTGCTGTTCCATGGAAGTTCCGTTTCCGGCGACGGTGGGACTAGTCGTTGTGGGCGTGTTCTTTACTGCCACGGATTCACCGTGCAAAAACAGGGCGGGTTCACGCAATTGTTCCCTGCGTTGGGGCAGTCGTCACTCGTCAGCGCACCTGCGAGGTCCTCAGTCGTCTCTGTTGCTGTCCTGTCGTCATGCTTGCCGACATGTATAGATGTCCAACGGGCCGGCCCGACCTGGCACGGCACGGCAACGGGCCGGCACGACCCGATGGGGTGCCCTGCGGGCCGTGCCGCCATGGGCTTCGTGCCTAGCCGATGGCCCAGGCACAGCCTGTTGGGCCGTTTTTCGTGCCGGGCCGACCCGAGAAGCACGGCTAATCCAGCGTGCCGGGTTGGCCCAAGGCCCACTACACCGACAGAGAGAGAGGGGGAGGCCAGGCTGCCGTCGTTGCGAAGGCAGTGGACGATGCGACCTCTCCATCCCCGACCTCTCCGCACCTCGACTTGGCTGGATCCACGAAGGATGAGCGATGAGGAGGCCGGATCCACGGAGAACGAGGCCGGATCCGCGTAGAGGAGGCATGGGGAGGAGCAGCAACGCATGGCAGTGAGGAGGAGGTGGCCACTGTCGGCGGCAGTGCGGGGCGGTGAGGAGGTGGTAGCCACCGTCGGCGGCTCGCCGCTGAGGTCCGTGGAGGCGAGTCTAGAGAGTGCGGTGGTCGGCAGGGAGGCGAGTCGTGCGGGAGAGAGAGTGGAGCGGGGAGGCGACGTGGCAGGCGAGTTGCGACGTCGACTCGCGACCGCGACCGCGACCGCGAGCGGTAGGGAGTGCGGCGGCGGGTTGGAGTGGAGGTGGGAGGTGGCGGCAGGAGGAGAGGAGCCGAGGGAGCGAGCGAGAGCGGGGAGGAGGCGAGGCGAGCAACTGGGCGAGAGAGAGAGCAGAGTGCGGTGGCGGGGGAGGGAGAGGGTAGGCGGTGGGGTTAAGAGAGGAGGGCTGGCCTGCTGGGCTGTTGTTGGGCCTTTGGCCACTTTCCTCACCAGGCTTCACCGGGCCTTTGGCCATTTTACGAGCCGAGCCGTGCCAGCCCGCGTGCGCGTGCCTGGGGTAAGGCCCAGGCACGGCCTGCTCCCTCGGGCCGTGCCAGCCTGGGCCCGCTAGCCATCGGGCTGGGCCGGGCTGATGGGCTCGGGCTGCATGCACATCTATACCGACATGAGCCGGCCCAGAGGTCAATCATTCTCCGGGACAATTTCACCGGATTTTCACTTTCCACAGTTCTGCAGGTATTGGTTCCCATGTGTTCCCTTGTTCACTACAGTATACAATAAAAATAGTTTTTGCCAACGATATTTACCGTCGGTTTTTATTAAAGTCGTTGGTGATGATTTTCACTAACGGTTTGTTATACGAACCCTCGATGAAAAATGGATCCATTTTCACTAGCGGTTCATCATACAAGCCGTCGGTGGAAAGCAGACCCAATTTTTACTGATGGTTTGTACAAGTTGTTGGTGAAAACATGTGCCTCTCTCTATTTGCGTGTGCTTCTTGAGAGTGGCTGAAAAATGGGGCCCACACACCCATGTGTCATAGAGTAACTTGTGTCCGTGCAAGGATATGGATCGATTGGCCCACCAACCTTTATCTCTCTCACACAAGCCTCTATCTCTTCTCCCTCCCTCTCTTTCTTTACTCCTCCCCCCTCTCTCCCATGGAGGGTGACTGACCACGGCACGGGTGCCCAAGCATGGCAGCCTGGGCCCTGGCATGATCCGCGCAAGTGGTCGAGCTCGACGGCCTCGGGCACCCTGACGCGGCGGCCTTGAGCACCCTGACACGACGGAACATAACAGTTAGACTTGGCGGAGCAGACCCGAGCGCGATGGACCCGGTGTGCCAGCGACCAAGTGTGGCTGGACTAGGTGGGGTGGCCTAGGTGCGACAACCACCTTGAGCGCAGCCGGCCCGAGGGATGCTCTGGCATGGTGGAACCCGATGCGGCGGCCACCCCTCACCAAACCTGAGCGATGACATCGGTCTAGGTGCCTTCATCTCCCTGCTCTCTCTTCCTCTCTTAGATATCTTCGGATTTTGCTCACCCTCTCTCCGTCCCTCAGATCTGGTGACAACGGCGGGTTGTGGAAAAGTTAAGTTCTTTATAAGATGTGTTTTACAGAAATGGATATCTAGCTCTATGAAATGGCTAGATAGCGAGAATACATATCTATAAATTTATATTGAGGTATTTTAAAAAAAAAAGAATTATAAAAGATATATAAAATAAATTAATCAAAATTTGCCAGCAGTCTATAATACTACGGTAGTTCGATTCGAAAATGCTACTGTCGACACGAGCGTGTGAGCCTATATTGGTGGGCCGATTCCACCTGTTTTCATGTGGGCTGACCACACATGCAGTGCACCTAGAGGCTGGAGCTATGGGCTGAACCGCGGAACCGTTGAAGCAAGTAAATCAATGTTTTTCAATAGTCCGTTACGGTCTTCGATCAAAATTTAAAACTCTGTTTCGGGCTGCAATGCGCTGAAACCGCCTGCATCACGGACCGTGACTGGGATGTCCTGGGCCAAATTCGACTTCGGCTGTGCTGCGAACGCAATCTGTTCGACGAAATGCCATGAGCAGCGTCGTGGGTGCGTGGCGTGCGGCTGCTTGCCATCAGCGTCCAGCACTGTCGTTGCTCCTCGATTTTGCTCACCAAACCTTGTAAAGCTCACTTTGAGGAGCTTATGGCTTTTTGACTTCTGAGTTTTTTTTTTTTTTTGCTTTTGGAAGGTCTAAAAGTTCTCAGGAAGTCCAAACAAACATACCCTAAATACAGTACCTGTACTTGATGACTAAACAAATGGAGGAACATAACCATTTGCAACTTGCAAAGTCAGAACCAAGCGCATAGCCGCAGACCAATTCCAAAAAGGGACCATTTTAAAAATGACATGGCTATGAATATGTCTTGGTTGTAGTGGATTATGTTTCAAAATGGGTGGAAGCTATGCCAAGCCTACGTGCTTCAATAGAACATTCGATTGAAATGATGAGGGGAGTTATCTTTCCAAGATATTGTGTTATAAGAGTAGTGATTATTGATAGAGTTTCTCATTTTATTGGAGACATTTTAACCATATTCTTAATTATCCAAGTTGGGAATTGAGAACGAAGGCACCATACATCAAATCAACAATGGAAGAATATTCTGAAGAAGACAATGGTTAAAAGGAGGAAAAGATTGGTTTAAGAAATTGAGCAGATCAATATGGGCTTATTATAGGACCCCTCTCAAGACACCACCTATTATGACAACGATATTAGTTCGTTTATGACTGTCATCTACACGTAGAGCTAGAATATAAGCCTTATTGGGCTACCAGAGAGATGAAATTAAATTTTGATGGCATGCAACTGAAAAGAAGGATTCACCAAATGGTTTGATTCAAAGCCAGGATTCTAATGGAGACAAACTTCTACTATTCAATTCGAGGTTCAAATTATTTGGAAAAGGGAAAATTACAATTCACCAAACCATAGCTAAACTTTTCATTATTATATATAAGCGCAAACAATTACACACATTACATTACAACATTCGGTATATAGGTATACATCTTGGAAAATATGGAAAATCATACTACACCATTTTCTAATTTTTAAACTTTTTTCCTACTTTCCCCTTTCATATTTGGCAGTGACGCTTCGACATTGTAACTTATAGCTCATGCTTTGAGCAGCTCACAATAGGCTGATGGCCTTGAAGAGTTTTATTCTAGTTTGCTTTTCTTAATAAGGTTTATTAATACATTCATTCATTTATATACTGACCAGAACTTACTTATATGCAATGGTATTTAATTATTTGATCACAACTACTAACGAGCATACCTTTTAATACCACATGCAAGTGATCTTTTCTAGCAACATTTCATGTTTTCTTATGAAGCTGGATGTGAAAGCCGTCCGGAAATCATAGCCCGGGATAAAGCATCATCGTCCCTTTGGTGAGGGCTTTCCATCTATATTCAAGAAAAAACATGGTATTTTTATCATCGTTATACAGTTTGAGGCTTTTGTACATCATCTGCTGTATGGTCCAGGTATATTCATATTCTTTTACCTGTAATTGGTGACCAAGCAGTGGAGGAACATAGCCATTTGCAACTTGGCAAACTCAGCACCAACACATAACCGCAAACCACCCCAAAGGCCATAAAATCCTTAGAGTCACCAACTGGTTCAGGAGTATCCTGTACCATGTAAACATATGTCATCAAAACACTACTTTGCACTGAGAACACAGTTTAGGACATGGTATTTTAAAACTATTTAGGTCAATTATTACTTGTTTCAAAGTATGAGTTTCACATACCTTCCATCTCCATGGATTGAATGCCAAGGGGTCCTCGTAAACCTTTGAATTCAGGTGCACAGCAGATGGACAGATCATGATCTTTGATCCTTCTGGTATAGTATACCCTGAGTGCATAAGTTCAAAGTGAGGATATATACACTGATCTATTCCTAGGAATACCATACCCTAGTAGAATTTTTTTTACTGCACATGGTGGAAACCAAAAGCATATATATACATACCCTTTATGTGTACGTCCTGGTTTTTTGCTTGTCTGAACACCACCGGAGCGATGTTTGCGAGCCTAAGAGATTCATGTATAACCTATATGTGATGTAGAAAGTATATCAGGTGCCAGTATAGTTTTTCAAATGGGCCAGGCCCGATGGGCCGACACGGGCACGGCCCTAAAAAACACGGCACTAGCCCGGCCCGGCCCGCTAGGCAGCGTGCCCGTGCTTGGCACGGCCCGCAGCCGTGCCCGTGCCTGGGCCGCACATTCGGCCCATGGGCCAGCACGAGGCACGGCACGGAAAAAGGCCTGGCCCGGCATCGGCACGGCTTCGAGCCATCATGGCCGTTGGATCCCCCGACCCCTGTGATTCTAGCCGTTGGATTCAGTCGTTGGGGTGGGGGTGTATATAAGCAGCTCGTCGGCCGGCTCCCCCTCGCACCCTAAACCCTAAATCATTTTCGCCTTTCCCCCGTCGCGCTCTCCTCTCGCTCTCTCTGTCTCTGGCTCTCCTCTCCGATTCCGACGGCGCGGGACGACTCCGACGGGCGACGGCGACCCGCCGCCGTCCCCACCTCTTCTTCTCGCCCTACGGCAGCTCCGGGGCTCCGAAGATGCAGGTAAGAGCACTCATCTTCTTCTTCTCGCCCTCCGGCAGCTCCAGCACGGAAGATGCTTTCTCTTCCTGATTTTTTTCTTCTTCTTTCTTTAGATCCGCTGATTCACAGCTGCTCCGAGCTCCGTCTACGTCGCCGGCAGCGTTGAGGTAAGAATCCATAGTAAACCCTAACCCTAACCCTAACCCTAACCGTTCTTGTTCTTTCTTTAGTTCTTGATCTTGACCATCTTCTTCTTCTTCTACACACTTGTGCAGCCGTTTGAGGCCAGTGGCTATGCCTCCCCGGCCCCCCTCTGAAGAGACAGTCGAGGCTGCCTTGTCTGCGTACCATGAGGAGTCCGAGAGGTTGCGCGAGCTCCCTGGAGAAGACGAAGACGACGACATGGGCGACGAGGAGGTAGAAGAGCTCTTCGGGCGTGGATCTGGAGGTGGAGCCGGTGATCCGATCAACGTTGAAGGTGGTGATGGAGCAGAGGACGGGCGGCGGCGAACAAGATGAGAACGCCGACGACCAGGTATCACGTCCCTGTACCTCTGATGTGTGGCTTGACTTCAAGAAGCTATTCAAGATGGGTCCCAAAGGTAAGAAGGTCAGGTATGGCGCTGTCTGCATCCATTGCAAAAAGCAGTATTCTGGTAGATCTGCAATTGGCACTGGCCACCTCCGTCGTCACAGGGATAAATGTGCTGTTAGGCGAGAGAAAACTAGGAGCTTTAGTCAGTCTCAGATCTCTTTTAATCCTGATGGTTCTATGCGTAATTGGGATTCTTGTCCTATGCGTGCTTTCGTCTTGAACTTTGTCGATTGCTTGCTAGGGTAGATGTTCCTATAAGCTTTGGTGAATCTGCGCATTTGAGGAATACATCTGTAATGCTCATAATCCTAAGTTTCAGTCTCTACACAAACCACCACTAGAGACTTAGCCAAAATGTTTTCTCGATAGAAAGGCTAAGCTTGTTGAGCTACTTGCTTCGATTCATTAATTGTGTGTGCCTAACCTCGATATATGGTGCAGCAAAGCCAAAGAGGACTACCTTAGTGTTGTTGCTCATTACATAAACCCTGATTGGCAACTAGAGAAGAGGGTGCTTGGTCTTGTGCTTATTGATTGTTCTCATAATGGACAGAACATTGCTGATAGAGTTGCATCTGTTCTTGGTGATTATGGTGTTGCTGAAAAAGTGTTTGCTGTTACTTTGGACAATGCTTCATCTAATGTTTCTGCCATGCAAAAACTTAGATCTGTTTTGTCTAAATATCTTGGTCTTGAGGTACCAGTAGAGGATCCAAGACATCCCGAACTCCTGAATCTGCTGTTTAGTACTATGTTCTTGCATCACGTTGTGCATGCCATATAATCAACCTTGATTGTCAAGGAGGCATAATTATCTTAAACCTTTGATTGAAATTTTTAGAACTGCAATATCATTTTTAAACTCATCTAATCAGAGGATTGCAGCATACAAAAGACTTTGCATTGCAGCGGGTGTTAGGCCTAGAAAGTTTCAGTTAGATATGGATGTAAGGTGGAACTCTACATATCTAATGCTTAAGACTTTGCTTCCTCACAAAGATCCTTTCACTACTTTCATACATGCCAATTATCCTAGAGGTGAGAATAGTGAGTTGCTTCTAACTGAAGAACATTGAATTTATTCTTTGAAAAAGTATTTGTGTTTCTTGAACTGTTCTATGATGCTACTTGTTGCATTGTCTAAAGTGTTTACTATCCTACATCTCCACTTATGCTTCATTATCTGGTTAAGATTGCTATACACCTGAACAATTATAGTAATGACATTCACCTGAGAAATGTGATTCAACCTATGATAGACAAATATAATAAATATTGGAGGGACATACCTTTGCTCTATTCTTTTGCATTCATCTTGGACCCTAGAGCTAAAATGAAGGGTTTTGCAAAAGTGCTGAGGAAGTTGATGAACCTTACTAGTACAGATTATAGTGCTTACCAGGTTGGCACTAGAGCTAGGCTTACTGATGTTTTCAATAAGTATGAGGAGAAATATGGAGCTGTTAGGTTGAGGAGGACTGTCCCTCAAAACCTATCTGGTAAGAAAAGGTCTGCTTGGGATGAAATTTATGATGATGATACACCTAGTCCTTCTGGTGGGGGTACTTCACTGCTGCATTCCTCTCTTAATCTGTCTAGAGATACATCTGCTACTGCTTTGCTGCATGCTGCTACTTCTACAGCTTCTAATGCTTCTGAACTTGTCTCATACTTGGATTGTGACACTGTTAGCCAGTTGGATGATTCATTTGACATCTTGAAATGGTGGCATGAGCACAAACTGACATATCCAGTGTTGTCCATCATGGCTAAAGATGTTTTAACTGTTCCTGTGTCTACCATATCTTCAGAATCTACGTTTAGTATGACTGGTAGGATTATCGAGGAGCGGCGGAGGAGGCTGAAGCCGGAGACGGTGGAGTGGCTCACCTGCGTCAAGGACTGGGAGTTGGCGGAGGCAAGGCTGCAACACAATGTGGAGGACCCGGAGCTGGAGGAAACATTTGAAGAGCTTTATCTTGATTAGTGCCCCGACCGCCAAGGTTAATTACAACCCTAACTTCCTCTTCTTCTTTTGCTAACTGACCAGTGCTCCTAATGCTAACTCTATTCTTCTTTTGCAGCTGGCCAGCTGGGAGCTTGAACTTGAAGCTTGAAGCATATCTTTATTAGTTTAGTCTTTACATTTAGCTTGAACTTGGCTCTGTAATATGAGAACTTGGACTTGGACAATGATGTAAGAACATTAAACTTTAATGGAGCTAGGCTGTACTCTTTTCCTGACTAGGGTTTCTCACAAGGGTGAGTTTTACCTAGCAGGTTTTTAGTGAGGCAGCCATTGCACATGCTCCCATATTCCTATTTTCTTAACTCTTGTGTGTTTGCTCTGTTTTTGTTTCTCCAGTTCTTTTTCTGATAATTTTGATTCCAAATTGTGCTTTGGTTAAAATGTGTTTAGTGCCTGGACCGGCACGGGCACTGGCGTGCCACCGTGCCTGCTGGCACGGCACGGCACGATTAGCACTTGATAGTGCCGTGCCTGGGCTGCCACTTCGGCACGGTGGCACTATCAGGCACGGCACGGCGGGCCACCGTGCCGCATAGTGCCGTGCCTCGCCGTGCCGTGCCTGGCCATGCCCGTGCCGTGCCGTGCCGGGCGGCCCGTTTGGAAAACTATAGGTGCCAGATAACTATTGGATTGGATTCTTCCATGGACCAGAGATACATTTGAGAGTTTTTGTTTGTTTTTTACAATTTTACATATAGCACGTACATGAGATGTGAATTTCATAGACTTGTACTCCTCCCAGGCGATATCCGAGTCTGACTCCACCCTTCTTTCCATGATTTTTTCATGCTCCTCCTGAAAACATTTCACATCAAATACATCTTTGACTGACGTACACAAAAGAGTTGTGGCGATAAAGCGTTTACTTACGGTCAATTCTTGCAAGGCTTTTGGATTGTCCGTTAGAAACTTGAGTATCGCGGTCAGTCCCATCGACGTCGTCTCGTGGCTTGCAAAGAGGAGCAAGAACAATAAGTCCAACGCGATGTTCTCGTTCATTATAGGGTTTGGCTTCTCCATCTCATCGATCACAAGATCGAAGAAATCCACGGTCTTGCGCTCGGCTGCGTTCCTGCGCTCATCGAGCTGCTGCTTGAGTACCTTCATGACGTTCTTGCGTCCCTGTGGATATATTATGTAATATTGTTGGAGATTATAGATGAATTGGTTAGGTGACATGAGTAGCACTCTTCTGGTCCTGAAAGTTTGACTCCCGCAGGTTGAGTTTTTTTTTAATTAAACTCGATCAGACGGTGTCAAGTCACGTTGCTTGTCATGCATGTACCTGCATGCATTTATAGAAGGCTGTTCCAGGAACGCAGATTGGGAATGACAACAGCCCCTTGGTCCAGGCGTCGAAGCATTTCCACAGGCTTCCTCCTGATGCCACGTCGTCGTGGCTGATCAGCTTCTTTGCCGTGACGCCAAATATCATCTGCACGCGCGCATAGATCGATCGATGATGGCATGATGCAAAAGCATAAACGACACACGCAGTGCATACAAAAGCATAAACGAAACACGCCGTCCTAGAAGTATTACCCTGGAGGTGGCCGTCCTGACCTCGACGTCCGGCCGGTCGAGCCATGAGCGGAGCTCGTCGCGCGCGCTCCGCTGCACGTTGTGGAGCAGCACCAGGCGGAGGGCCTCGGGCCAAAAGAGGCGGAGCACGAGGTTCCTAATGTGGCGGTGGAGCGGGCCGAGCATGGAGACCATGTTGTTAGCGCCCAAGACTCGCATGAAAGAGGAGGGGTACCAGATCTGGAAGCCGCGCTCCTCCTGCTGCAGCACGCGCGCGTTCAGGTCCGGGTCCAGCGACACGATCATGTCCTCGCCAACTATGTTCGTCCGGAAGATGGGCCCGAACCTGCAGACAAGGAGCCAACGACGTCGACGGCCGGCACTTACCTTATTAGATGCTGGTGGCTCACTTACATAAAATCATCTCAAAGGGCCTAGTATATGGCACCTGGTTGGTAAAGAATTAAAGTCGTGGAGTATATATTATTATTATTATTTTCTGGTGGTAATATATGTACTTATACTAGGTTATTAATCAACTATTAAAGAGTTGTTCTTGCGATCCATATATTAGGCCTCGTTCGGTTTGCTTGGGAACGATTCCCAGCCGACGTTTCCTTCGATAATTTAAATAACCTAGGAACGGTTCCAGCCAAGAACAACCCGGAATGGGGCTAACCGAATGGGGCCCTAGCAGTTCCAAATAATGGACGATTGTCAAGTGTGTCGTATTTCCTTTATTGGTGCACAATTTTACTTCACGGTTTTATTGGTTGTCCAAAAGCATTTAATGTTTTTATGATGTACGTTGAGGTCGTAATTCTTGGAGTTGAATCGAATTACTTCCACTGGAGTTTTATTTCCAGTTTAATTTAATTTCTACATCATGTTTCACCCTGGTCAAACTCAAGCCTGCTCTCTTCTCGTAAATTTCATACGGTGTCCTGGTGACGCTCCAATAAAACTTACACTTAAAATGGCGCACACAAAGTGGTATATGTGCCTATAATAAACACAATATATATAATAATAGACATATATATGGTAGTACTAATTAAATATATATACCTCTCCAACCGTCGCTTGAAGAAGGGCACTAGCTCAAGGGTCGGGGACGCTGCGAAGAACTCGAGCATCTCACCGAGGAGCGGCCGGTCACTACCAGAGAACAGACAGAGAACAGACTTTAGAGCGATGTCCTAATTTGGCATTAGCCTTGGCATTTTTTTGCCGCCGGGACTAAAGGACCCTTTAGTCCTGGTTCGTAATACCAATCGGGACTAAAAGTCCTTGCCCAACGGTCGTCCGCGTGGCAGGGATCTTTAGTCCCGGCTGGTATTACCAACCGGGACTAAAGGTTTTAGTCCCGGTTTGGGTGATACTCCGGGAATAAATATTAATCTTTAGTCCCGGTTTGGCCACCTAACCGGGACTAATTATGCGGGCCTATACAACGGCTCATTTCTTCCTCCCGAGCCCGAGCCATTCCATTCAAACTCACTTGGCCTCTGTTCTTCACTTGCTGTTGTTCTTGCTCTCTCCCCTCCATTGGTGTTGCTCTTCGATTTTAGAGGTAACAAACTTAATCCTCTTATGTTTTATCAGTAGCTTATCTCATTTTGCGATGTAGATGCATGTGTAACTTTATATGTTGGACTTTATTATGATTTTATATGTCATTTTTAGCTCAAAATCACATGATGATTTGCATATATGTTTGGATAAACAAAAGTTAAATTAGTTTATCAAAATCACGCCTCGCTCGTCCTCGCTGGAGCACGCGCCATCCTCCTCGTCCCAGGCTTACGTGATCTTAGAATTAATTTTTCCATGAAATGAAAACTTAGAAAATAGTTAGAAAATTATAGAAAATCCGTACTAGTTGAACTTGCGGACCGTGATCATCTCGTGAGCATTTTCTCCGCCGGCGGTAGCGGACGTCAAGGAGGAGCTTTGATTCTCGAGGGAGAGCGGCAGCGGTCGTGGAAGACCGTGTTCCCTTCCTCGTAGAATCGGAGCTCTTCCTTGGCCAAAATGCAGTGCCGTCCGGTGGAGAAATGCTCGCCGAGATGTCACGTAAGCAAGGTCAACTAGTACGGATGGTTATTATTGAAACATGTTTTTGAGCTATGTGATTTCTATGTCATTTTTAGCTCAAAATCACATGATGATTTGCATATATGTTTGGATAAACAAAAGTTAAATTAGTTCATCAAAATCACGCCTCGCTCGTCCTCATTTGGAGCACACGCCATCCTCGTCCCGGCGGCTTACGTGATCTTAGAATTAATTTTTCCATGAAATGAAAAACTTAGAAAATAGTTAGAACATTGTAGAAAATCCGTACTAGTTGAACTTGCGGACCGTGATCATCTCGGCGAGCATTTTCTCTGCCGCCGATAGCAGACGTCAAGGAGGAGCTTTGATTCTCTGAGGGAGAGCGGCAGCGGTCGTGGAAGACCGTGTTCCTTCCTCGTAGAATCGGAGCTCTTCCTTGGCCAAAATGCGGTGCCGTCCGGTGGAGAAATGCTCGCCGAGATGATCACGTAAGCAAGGTCAACTAGTATGCGGATGGTTATTTATTGAAACATGTTTTTGAGCTATGTGATTTCTATGTCATTTTTAGCTCAAAATCACATGATGATTTACAATAGTAAAATCACTTGATAGTTTAGTATTTTACTATTATACATAGTACATATTTCATGGTTTAGTTAGATAAATAAATAATTTTAGTTTTGTTTAAATATATTATTTTAGAAAATGTGAAATTTACAGTAGTTTGCAAAAATAAATATAGAAAGTAGATGACAACTGGTACCGGATCCTCGGCCTCTCGTTCGGTTGCGAAACGACTGAGGCCAGAATTCCCTCTCATTATCTGCGGCAAGTGTAAGCAGAAGATTGTGATGGAGTACCAAGTCAAGAGACAGAGACCCAACAAGGATCGTGTTTTCTTCACCCGTCCGGCCGTTCATCCATTTGAAGGCTAAACGGAGAAGCAAGATAGCTCCCAGAGTCACTGACAGAACAGCCAAGTAATTCATCGACATTGCTAACAATGTATAGTACTTGCTCTGCAACTCGGCTACCTATGCCACCTTTATTTGCTGTTTACGGGTGCGGCCTGCCAGTCATATATTAGAAGTATGAGGCCGCGCCGTCTCCGCGGCCTCTGAGCATGGCCACGATAGCCTGCTCTGTTAGCCCCGTCCGATATTGTTTTTATGGCTCAGATCGCCTTGTTCCTATTTTTCACTATGAGTTTTTGTCTTCTCATGATTGGACTGAAGGAGAACAGGTTTCGTAACATGCACCGTGGCCTCTGAGCATGGCCACGATAGCCTGCTCTGTTAGCCCCGTCCGATATTGTTTTTATGGCTCAGATCGCCTTGTTCCTATTTTTCACTATGAGTTTTTGTCTTCTCATGATTGGACTGAAGGAGAACAGGTTTCGTAACATGCATGTTGTTGGCTCAACCTGCTCTACGCATGGAGAAAGCACAAGGATAGAAAATCTGGTATTATGCTACAGCCTAGATTCTCCACGCACTCCGCGGCCTCTGAGCATGGCCACGATAGCTTGCTCTGTTAGCCCGGTCCGATATTGTTTTTATGGCTCAGATCGCCTCGTTCCTATTTTTCACTATGAGTTTTTGTGACATGCATCTTGTTGGCTCAACCTTTTATTATATGCTTGCTCTACATATGGAGAAAGCACAAGGATAAAAAAATCTGGTATTGTGCTACAGGCTAGATTCTCCACGCATGCTGCCGGTGGTCTCAATGCATGCATGCATCGTAGAAGCTGCAACGCATGCAGCAGATAGCATGCATGCATCATAGAAGCTGCAACGCTGCTGTGTGAGGTGACATGAATACAGAAGCTGCAACGCTACTGTGTGAGGTGACAAGAAGCTGCAATGCTACTGTATGAGCGGGCAAGGACAGACGACTGGTGTGAGGTGACAAGACTGCTGTTAGCCGGCGAAGAGGGTAAGATTTCAACGCTACTGTGTGAGGTGACAATAAGCATGCACCCGCACTCCGTCAGTTCCCTCCGTTGGTCCCACGTCGTTCCATAAACTTTTGCCTTCTACAGCTACAGACATTGGACTTCACGCTATCTGATCGATTAAATGCTATCTGATCGATTAAATTGGGAAAAAATTTGAACTCCAGGCGTCCATTTAATCTCGTACATGATATTGACCCTTCATGCCGAATATCTATGCTAGCACAACAGCACACAGCGTGCCAATCTTTTGTCCTTTCTATGTAATTATGCATGTTGCCTACTGAAGCATTTCTCATGATAGGACCCGGGAACAGGCCTCCAATGATAGTAGCACTAGCAGTAGAGAGAAACTGCTTCAGTTCTCAAGATCCTTTTTTTCAACAAGAATAAAGTGACAGATGGATACGTTTCGTGCATCATATATAGGATAATAACCATCTTGTTTGAAAGCTGGAACCATTCTAGGGTTACTTATTATTACTAGCCTGCTGCAATGTCATAGCATCGACTGAATGATTTTTGGTTTTATAGGGTTGTGGCGGTATGGAATCATGACCTGGGATCCCGCAGGAGGTATAGCTGTGCTGTGACAACCCACCCAGCTTTGGTTCAGAGTGCAGTGCGTATGTATGATGTTTGGACACAGCCACAGTGGCACATACGTACACGCACACACTCCCAATCCTTGAATATCGCACACGTGAGTCAGGCAGGCACACTGTGGCCTGTGGTGACTGCCTGACTGGTGAGAGAGGAGGGAAGAAGAGGAAGCTACCTTCGTGCTGCAATTTGCCGCCTTCTCACGATATATAGAGCATGCATGAAATGTCACCATCATGCACTTCCACACAAAGAAGACAAAAGGGCATCAGACGGCATGCATGCATGAAATGTCACCATCGTACTAGTGCATCATTTGTACCTTGTTGCTACCGTATTACTTGGTCCATGGGTCATTGGCGCAGATTAGTACCTTCGATATTTTGAAAAGTTGATTTCTTTGTTATTCCCAGACCAGTGCATGGGTTGAATTTGATTACTATATCATTCTTACCAGTTTAGTACATGGATTTAAATTTTCCATTGTTCGTAGTAGATTAAATTAACCATGCATTATGTGCCCATGTGAACCTAGGGCATGTCTATTTCTTATTCGTCGTGTTCTTACCGATAGTGCGTTCCGAGATTCTCCTCTTGCCTATATAATCATGCCCTTCCTGCTGCTTCACGGCACCCCTTCATCTGTCTTTGCCTTTGTTATGTTCTTCGAGTACTGCCTACTCGAGACACTCGTGTAGGGCAGTGAAAGTTGAACTAGGAGACATTTG